GGTATTCAGAGGAAAAACTCTGAATACATCACTAATCATCAACATCACTAATCATCAGGGAAATGCAAAGTAAAACCACAATGAGATATCACATCACACCTTTGGAATAAACAAGAAATAAGTGTTGGAGAGGATGTGGACAAAAGGGAATCCTCATGCGCTGTTAGTGGGAATGTAAATTGGTGCAGCCTCTGTGAAAGTTCCTCAAAATGTTAAAAATAGAACTACTATATAATCCAGCAATTCCACTTCTGGGTATTTATTCAAAGAAAACAAAAACACTAATTTGAAAAGATATATACACCCTTATGTTCACTGCAGCATTAATTACAATAGCCAAGATATGGAGACAATCTAAGAGCCCATCAACAGATGAATGGATAAAGAAGATGTGGTACATATGCAAGTTGTTACCTGTGCTTCTGACAAATTGGCTATGGGTGGAGTATTCCAAAGACCCCCTCCTGGAGTTCAGTACATTTGCTAGAGTGACTAACAGAACCCAGAGAAACATTTTACTTACTAGATGACTGGTTTATTATAAAAATTTATAACTCAGAAACAGCGAGGTGGAAGAGATGCATAGGGCAAGGTATGTGGAAAGGGCTCTGAGCTTGCATGCCCTCTCCAGACCCTCTCCCCAGATCTGCACATGTTCACCAACCTGGAAGCTCTCTGAACCCCAACCTTTTGGATTTTTATGGAAGCTTCATTACACAGGCTGATTGATTAAATCACTGGCCTTTGGTGATTGAACTCAATCTCTAACCTCTCTCCCGTCCCAGGAGGTTGGGGACAGGGTAAGGGGGTGACTGGGGGTGAGGTGGGAGTGGGACTGAAAGTTCCAACCCTCTAATCTCAGGGTTGGTTCCCACAGCAACTGGCCCCCATCCTTAGATCAGTAGGGACTTCCCCAAAGTCACCTCATTAACATAACAAAAGACACCTTCAGGGCTCTCCTCACTTAGGAAATTCCAAGAGTTTTATGTGCCAGGAATGGGTAACAAGACCAACTATATATTTCTTATTATAAATCACAGTATCACACCTTCTAAGAAGACTAACACAAGAATTCAGCTAAAACATTGAGAATTGAAAAGTTAGCCATTATTTGATCTAACTTCTCCTTCAATATAATGGATTTTCTTTGGTAACCAAGACTTCTGATAAATGAGTCTTACTTAGATTAAACCTAACTCTGTCTCCCTGAATTACTCACCAATTGGTTCTTGTTCTCTGAAAGAGTAGTTCAGCTTACTCTATGACTGCCTTTCAAGTGCTATTAAATAAAAATGCAAGTTTTAATACTAGGTCCTCATCTTTGACCTTAGGGAGTCACTTAAATACTCTGACTCACTGTTTCTTCAACTGCAAAATGGCAAGTCCGACTTTATTCATGTCATAGGGTTGTTGGGAAAGTAACAGTAACCATTTATTAAATATTTACTATGTTCTAGGTACTAATGAGAACTTTATACACTGAGTTATTAATACTCCTAATCCTATGAGGCTGATGGTATTATTCCCATTTTACTGAGGAGAAAGTTGAGGCTGAGAAAAATTAAATAACTTGCCCGACTACTACAGAGTCATAGGACTAGGATTTGAACACAGTTCTGTCTGGCAGCAAATTCCTAGGCTTAATCATTTTACTCTTTGGCCTGCTATGAAAGAAAGTACTTCATAAATTTCAATTATTCAAATATTTCAAATGATTTCCTTTAGCCTTTTCTCCAGGTGAAACATTCTCATTTTTTTGGTTATTCCTTGAAGAACTATCATTTCCCCAGCCCGTATCATTAGATTCACTGTCCTCATGGAGTAGCATGTTTTTAAGGTTCCCACTTAATATATCCTAACTAGAATGGGAAGTGATGTCCTAATGTGCCTAGAGTTAGGAACAATATTCCACAGTGCTTCTCCAGCTCATAACATGTATGTTCTACCTGTTTCTGAACCCAGACAAGCTAAAGCTTTGTTATCATCCTCCTCAATAGGCTGCAAGGGTCAAACATGCTGGAACTTGTGTCTGAAATGAATGAATCAGTGTAGAATCTGAGTTCAACATCTTTTTTTTTTTGCGGTACGCGGGCCTCTCATTGCTGTGGACTTTCCCGCTGCGGAGCGCAGGCTCCGGACGCACAGGCTCAGCGGCCATGGCTCACGGGCCCAGCCGCTCCGCGGCATGTCGGATCTTCCCGGACCAGGGCATGAACCCGTGTCCCCTGCATTGGCAGGCGGACTCTCAACCACTGCGCCACCAGGGAAGCCCAGAGTTCGTGGATTTTTAAAGAAATAAGTCAGAGTAGATTTTTTTTCCTTTAAAAAAGTCACACCACTGACTTGCGTTTTCTTGAGTGGGAGAGAAAGGGAGGGTTGGGCTGCCGGGACGTTCCTAACTTTGGGTACCCAAAAGCAAGTATGTGGAGAAGAGAGACTGAGATCCACCGCTTCTGAGGCAACTTTCGTATCAGCTGCCTGGGCTAAGAGGTATGAGATTAAGAGCAGTGAGATTATGTTATGGCCTTTGTTTCAGCTGAAGACAAAGTGTAGACTGCATAGTAGGATCCCACTGGATGCCTGTTAAGTAGGTTAGGTTGAAGCACGTGATTATATCTCATGGATGGGTGGGAAACTCAGTGCCAGGTACCCTGGAGGTGCTCAGTCGATATGGGTTCATCTTAGCAATAATGCTGAGGCTTCAACTACTACTTGATGGTTTCATTTTACAATTTGTACGGGCAGAGCAGGAATCATCATTGAAGCTGGGAGGGTCTAGCACTAGGTGTTTAGAAAGATCATTTCCTTTCTTATGTTTTGGGGGATGAGAACTAAAGGGTACTAGTGTATTTCTTTGTGCTCCGAGAATCACATGTATTTATCTTTTGGCCTTGACATGGTCATAAAATATGTTTTCTTTAAAGGAAAAATTTATGGAAAACTCATGTTCATGTTGAATGATTTTAGGGTTGATTTGTTATTTATACATTTCTTTTTAATTGTGTTTTTTTCTTTTTACATTGCAAAAGAAGTAGATTCTGGCTATGAAGTCCAAACTATCACTGGGGAAAATGAACTTCACTAAGTCATTTGTCATGATGAAAATGGCTTATCGGGCTTCCCTGGTGGTGCAGTGGTTGAGAGTCTGCCTGCTGATGCAGCGGACACGGGTTCGTGCCCCGGTCCGGGAAGATCCCACATGCCGCAGAGCGGCTGGGCCCGTGGGCCATGGCCACTGAGCCTGCGCGTCCGGAGCCTGTGCTCCGCAATGGGAGAGGCCACAAGAGTGAGAGGCCCGTGTACCGCAAAAAAATAAATAAATAAAAGGCTTATCAGTCATAGTTAAAACAATCTAGGAGTTGGTAAAGATATTTTGATTTGTTCTTGTGAAAGATTTACTTCTTAAGACAAGTCCAGAATACTTAAAAGTGCAAATACTTAGATAGCAAATGTATTTAAACCTCAAAACTCAAAAACATTTAGGAGACCATGTATTTATTTGCCTATGGGATCAATAAGACACTTGAAAATATTTTGTTTTATAGTCACACATTTTATTACAAATTTCTTTTATTTTGTACCTAATAGAAAAGCAAGTTTGGAGTCTATTTACAAGTACTATTTACATTTACATATATTACATACAGTTAATGAATTTAAAGAAAATGGGCAGAGAAGCACAATATATATGGAAGAATATGCCACTGTACATGGTTTATTATCATGGTCCTTAGTATTACTGAATCTTTACTATAGTAATAAATACAGTTCTATATTTACACATCTTATAAAACATCTCATAAATGTATTTTTTTCAATTCCAAGTTAAAACATCTGATCAAAATAAACATGCTTATATAAAAATAAATCCACCTAACAGTCTTTTGGTTTGGATGTATTGAAGCTAATGTAGTATAATAGAAATTATGAATTAATCCTCTGACCTTTAGTATTTAATAAATTTGCCTTGTACAATACCTAACACATGTATTAAATATGGAATAAGCAGAGAAGTCATGTTCTTGACATCAGGTTGGTTGATCCAAAGACAACATAGCTAAAACCAAGCTAAATAAACAGGATAATATATTACCAAGTTCCCGCTGAGTCAAAAGTGGTTTCAGACATTGTTGCTAAAGCTACTAGAGGTACATGTGAGAAGTTATGTCACTGGATTTAGTTTATGCTGTGTCTGCATTTGATTGTTACCTTATGATGCACATCAGTTTGAATCAAGTGATAAAACCTCCTGTGAAAAACGTGCACTCACCCAGGGGGAAAATAATCCCAGGTTGCTTACCGTCTTTTCTGCGAATGTCCATTGCCGGCAATGCAGTTTTCTTTGAACCTCTGGGCACCAAGGAGTTAAAATGAATTAGACAAGAAAACCTCATCTGTACATCATTGCCTTCATGGCAATTTATGAATTTAAGTTCATTTTCCTTTCAACGTATTTGTAAGCAGTTTTATTCCACTGAGGGTGGAACCATCTAGTGCTGATACATAAAATCTAGCATCTCTAAAAATGATGTGACTGTGAATGAATTAACAGTGCCTTATGTTATCCATTCACAGGGGTATTGGTGACCTGGAAGGATTCTTTCTGAGGAAAGGTGAAGCAGTATAAAACATCTCCACCTGGTCATTAAAATGAAATCCTACTGGTCACAACCATTACTTAGTAATGCGGGCCATTTAAAAACTCTTATTTTCCTAATGCCTCCAACCATATATGAAGGGGTTTTCTGGTTTAAAACCCCTTGCGTAAGCAAGTGAGTTGAAAAAGAATTCAATTGAAATCATGGAGAATTTTTTGAACATTTCAATCTGTTTTTAAAATATTTATATATATTTTAGGCTTACCTGAAGAGTGTGACTGAGTTATATAGCTTGAACGAGTTATATAAGCAGCATTTAGACTTATTTTTCACTCTCTTGTATCAATAATTATCAGCTTTTTGACACTGAGAGGTTTTTTTTTTGTTGTTTTTGTTTTTTTTTTTAAATCAAGTTTCAGCTCAGCTCTTTTTAGTTACTGCTCTGATATACTCAACCTCACATTTTTGGGTTTTCAATTTTTGAAAACTTTCTCTCACATATTAATTAGAGACATGGGACAAATGCCACAGATGAAAGATGACAGCTTTCGGTCATCGGATAAGCTGGTGGTGACCCAGAATTGGAAGGCAGGTCATAGGCTCTGCTGGCACTGGTGAAGGTTACCAAGGCCTGGGTTGAGTCACAGGACTGTTTCTCAACATCATCAGAGTTAATAGACATCAGGCTTGTGTGTGTCGATCTTGTCCAGAAGTGGGTTTGCTTTCCCAGGCTCCCCAGATCCTCCTTAAAATGAGGATTGAAGAGGATGTAGAGAAGGGGATTGAGACATGCAGGAAGGGGGACAATCACCAGAAGGATAAACTTAATGACTTCAGGGCTGATGAATGTGAGGTTCAGTAAGGAGGAGAAGGACAAGAAAGCCACCGGGCAGTAAAGGATACAGTTGGTGAAGAGCAACAGAGCAATGTGCTTCACCATAGAACAGTCCCAGATATTCTCCAGGTCTCCCTTTTCCAAATTGCAGTAGAGCTTGGTGTAGGCAATGGTCATCACGAGGAAGCAAAGGGAATTGAGCAAGACGAGGGCCACCATGTAGCCTGTGGCGCTGGGCTCCCCAAGGGGCAGCGGCAGGCAGAGCGGGGAGGCGCTGTACTCGCTGCCGCCCAGCAGGGGAACCGCGGCTATGGTCGCCGCCAGCAAGGCGCAGAGCGCAACGATTGCTTTCAGACTGGAAAAAGGAGTTTTCGTTTCGAATTTTGCAGAGCATTTCACAGCGAACCCACGCTCCAGGGCTGCCAGGGTAAGCAGGAAAACCGAGGATTCCGAAGCAAAAATGGACGAAAACCCGACGACCTGGCAGCCGACCCCCTGCTCCCACCACGCACCGTGCTGTGCAAAGCTGCCAAAAGTAAAGGCATCCACGCCAGCCAGCACAGCACTGGAGACCCCCGTGAGCATGTTCACCACGGCTATTAACCCAATTAACAGTTTTACGGAGGAAATGTACCGAGGGGCTCTGAACACGGTTGAGGTCACCAGGGCATTACACGTCAGGGCCAAAACCGCTATGGTCCACACTCCAATGCGGATCAGCCAGCTACCGAACAGGTACTCGCAGAGTTTGAAAGGGCCTAGAAGTCCAAGGAAGAAAAAGACGGTATCAAATTAGGGCTCACAATTTTTGCCAGATTACCTCTTTGTTTCTCTTGTTAGGACACCAAGAGATAGAGACCAGTAACAGCCATGGTAACACACAGTTCCCTTATGGCACACTCCACTTTATTAAACCACTATTTAATGTAAAGGTGAATATACCGGGTGCCCAGATTTTCAAGCTATGCCCAGAGAAATGGAGCCGGGGAGTTTAAATCACTGGATTCAGGTCCCCCAAATACAGCAGTGTGAGGGCCAGGTAACAAGTCAGATCTCTGGTTTTTGTTTTTGTTTTAAAATAAGTTTTTTTTTTTTGATGTGGACCATATTTAAAGTCTTTATTGAATTTGTTACAATATTGCTTCTGTTTTTTTTTATGTTTTGCTTTTTTGGTCTGGAGGCATGTGGGATCTTTTCTCCCCGACCAGGGGTTGAACCCGCACCCCCTGCATTGGAAGGCGAAGTCTTAACCACTGGACCACCAGGGAAGTCCCTCCTGGGCTTTGTATGATATCTGTCCAGAATGCTTCAAAAAAGGTTCTGTAAACAGGGAAGGAGAATCCTAGGGAAATACTCAGTGATGTTAGAAGAGGAAGTATGAAGGTGCATTTCATGAGAATGTCGTCTTGGGTTTAGATTGACATTTAACGTTTAGGTGCAAGGAACCATCAAATTGTTGAAAATAAAATATCAACCCTCCCCAGCTGTCTTTTTTTTTTCCCCACTGGTCTATCCTATTTCAGGGAATGGGACAAACAATTAAGTGAATAATATACATAGTTTTTACTTATCTCTAAAACTATTATTTGCTTTAACCAAATAGCTATTTAGAGAAGACTTACAAGAAATCACTGTCAAAAATCAGTGATTACATGAAGCAAGACTGTTGCATACCAGACTAAATAGCTAATATTATTTTAAAAATTACATTTACTTCTAACTATAAGATTGGTTCTTTCATTTCCATTAATCTGAATCAAAAGTCTCCTACAAAGATCCTATTTATGAATGGAGACCAACTCCAGGGAAAGAACAGTTGTATTTTAAAGGTCCCCATGGGGTGGGATATTGATGAGCTGCAAAGGTGGCACAGATTTTGCCTTGAAGTGTAGCCAAATGTCCCTGATGGCCTCAGAGTTAAGGGTGGGTACTGCTGCTGAGCAGTTCTGATGCCTTTCTCACCTGGGGAAGGTGAGCATTGCACCGAATGAAGGGCTTTCAGGTCTTCCTCAAAATCAAGCAGGAAATCTTCAAGATCACGCTCATCTGCAGGAATGAGAAGTTCTGGAATGATTAGTTCTGTCTCTCTTTTCAGGGGCCAACTTCCAGAGAGGAGAGTCCTGGATTGCCCTAGAGACGTGAAATGTCCCAAAGGGAACTGAGGGTCAGACATCCCACTTTTCCCTGGGCTTCCTTGCAAGTCTATTATAAAATTGCTTTGGGATGTTCTACTCAAGCTACTATATGACAGTATTTCAGCAGAACTGGGGGCAAGGGACAGTAACCCTGGACTCCCTGTCATAACGTCGAAGCACCCTCATTCTGTTCTTGTTCCCTGGAGCTCACAGTGGCCCCAAATTGCACTGACCTAAATTAGAGAGAGACCATGGGCCTCTCCATTCAGCGGAAGGACCACTTTATCCCATTTTCTAACACTTAGATAGCTATAGTGCAAATGTTCTGAGCTGTGTTCTCTGAGTACAAGAGGGAGAATTAGTAAGTTTCAATCTTTCTGGGGAATTCTGCTTAACAGAAGACAAATCAAGTAACTGGTGTTTGGATTAGCTATCCATGAAACAGGAGTTTTGTGATCTAACACACTTACTGATTTAATTGGTCTGGTGTGAGGTTTGGGCACCAGTGTTTTTAAAAGCTTCTGTGTGATTACAATGTATGGACCAGGGTTGCAAATCATTGTCTTTGAAAATAAACTCCACGAACAACCTTGTCTCTCTTGTTCATTGTGTGCCTCTAGGGCATAGAACAGTGCCTGGCACACAGTAGACACTCTAATTGTTTATTTTGGGGGGGGGAGGCTTGAATAAATATAGTAGAAATTAGGGTGGGTGAGGCAGAAAAAGCAAAAATGAAAGCAAGAACAAGAGCAAGACATATACTGTAGCCTAAAATAAAAAAGCCAAGGGCTATAATATCAGCTCCTTAATCAGATCTGTGTGCAGGAAGAAAAGTTAAGATAATGTGCAGACAGACTGAATCGTACTTGCTTGGGAATCAACAAATCATTAAGACCCAAAGGAAGAAAAGCCAGTCTATTTAGACTCTGTGCAAACTTGCAAGGTTGGCAGGGAAAGGAAATTGGGGACTGCCCAGAGCACTGCCTCATTACCACAGGTGTGGTTTGAGGTACATTGTTGTCTATTTAAGTCAGGTCTTGCTTCAAGGAAAGCCAAGTGCTTTACAGACATTATCTCATTTCACTTTCCTGACAGCTAGCCTTTGTGGGGGGTAGGTGGGGAAGATGCTTTAGGATTAGTTGGATAAGAAGTTGGATTCTTAAGCCCTTCTGCTGAAATATGGAGGCATCTAAAATGTCTATATTCCTCCACTCCCCACTGGGGTTTAAGAATAAAAATAGATTGTATTTTCTGGAGAAAAAAGCGCAGAAGCATGTTTGAAAAAGTTATCCACAGGGATAAGGCCCTCAAAAACGTTTATGAAAATATTGATAATCAATTTTAATATTTACCCCTGAGGACAATATGTGCTAAAAGGGATCTAATTGTAAATATAAGTATTAAGAAATCCCTTAGAGAAAAGATGACTTTTTAGAATGAATCCTAAAGGAGTTTTCTCTTTCTCTAAGAATCTTTAAAAAGTGGGATTGATTCTCAACTTGCTGGGGTGATTACATAGGGACTTGTTTGGAGTTCAGATGATCTGCTCTATGACTTTTCAAGCCCCGTTCAGACACAATTCCATCACAGTGACATAGCAGCTCTTACCTTGAACTTGAAACATTCCAGCATCTTTCTTATGAAGGTCATCTGCACTGCTGTTGTCGCCTTTATTCCATTGATTAGAAATTTTATAGACATTTTCACATACTCCAAATGCACAGCACTGATATGCATAAGGCATTTCTATAACCCTTTGAATGAACAAAACCAAACAAAAACACACACTTAAAGAAATAGATTGTTAAATACAGTGCTCATCTTTCACTTAATAAGTCTGCCTGTGGATCTTAGCCTTAATAAGTAATCTAAAATATTAACTGTGCATAAAGATGTTGATTACAGTGCTATTCATAACAACGGAGTTATTAAAAATTATTGCCATGAAATGTTGAGCGGTTGCTGAGGTTGAGTGATGGATATATTATTTTCTCTACTTTTGTGTTTGAAAATTTCCATAATAAAAACATTAAAAAATGACTGTTAGGAAAATTGTAACACCATTAAAAAGTGCTTATGGTATGACATAACGTAAAGTGACAAAAAGATGATATGAGTTTGTATACGTACTGTGAGTCTAACAATTAAAAATACATTGGAAACAAAATCTGGAAGGAAATAACATAAAACTTTGTTTAAGGGGATTTGTAGACTTTTTTTCCTCTCTTTTATTTTCTAAACTCTCTTTTGGGGTTATGGTTTTACAGTATGTAAAAAGTACTGTGGTTTAATATATATACAGAATATATATATATGTGTATATACACACACACACATATATATATATATATATAAAATCTTTCAAGGGACTTTATCGCTAATAAGTGTAACAGGTTTTAAAGAGCATTACTTCCTCAAACAAATATTAATTTAGTACATTTTATTAGAACATATACATAAGCAAGACGAATTTAAACATGTCAACAGGAGTACAGTTATGTTATAATGTTATTTAATTACATGTCCTAGTTTGTATCTCACGGATCAATGGTTTTCAAACTCTTTCCATGAACTCTGTGGTTCCAGGAGGCATCTTTGAAGAAGGAAGGAAGTGTGGTCAGGAAGACACGTTCTCCCACTCCAGGGCTTGTCCTAACAATGCCCCAGGGGTGGGGGACTTGAAGGCATGAAATGCAATTCAAAAGAGTCCCATAAATTTTGAAAACCACTATAACACGTCTATTGTTTCACATGACCACAAATGTATCTTATTAGTTTTAATGACAAACTCACTTGAGTTCTGGAAAGTTTTCAGATGATATCAAGCTCTGTAAGGCATGATTTCCTGTTAATTTTAAGTGAGTTAAACCATGTAACCCAGTTACAGGAAAAGACGACAGGCGGTTGGATGATAGGTCCCTGCAAAACATCAAACAACAATTGGCTTTTAGTCTGTGTTAGCATAAAACGATTATGTTAAAAAAAGCAACGTAAAGATGATTAAACTGCTCCATAAAAACTTCTAAGCAGGGTCCTTCCTCTTAATGGTAAAAGGAACCATTTTGGTTTTAGCTCCTGAACAACTCTTCTATTTACCATCAGAATTGCAGGAGAAAAATGTTTTAATCACACCCAAATTGTAATTTCTACATTCAGCTTAATTTTGCCAGATGGGGACATCGAAAGTCAAGTGGAGGGTGCTACACGTAATTTGAAAAGTGGTGCTGACTAGATCAAGTTAGGGGTGAGGGGGAGAACATTGTTGGGGGTTTATTTTCTTCCTGCTCGCCATAACTTCTATCTGCCCAGTTCCTTCTTTGTCTCTGAGACACGGGAGAGAGGGAGAGGAAAGAGCAAGAGGTGGAAAGGGAGGGAAAAAATGGACAGGAAGGTTTTCTGTTAGTCAAGATGGCAAACTGTAAAATGAAAGACCTTTAGAACTGAACTGATTACTTAGTCCGTTCCACCTGATGGCTCAGCAAAAATGGAAAATTTCACCTCAATAACCAGAACCAGCTGTCACCCAGATCGTCATTTATCCACGTAAGGACGCTCATGGCCTTGGAGGGGCGGGGTTGGGAAGTGGGGTGCTCGTTTCTGGTGTGATCCAGCTCCAGCGCAGGAGGCACTGAGGGCTGGGCATTCTGTGCACTGTGGGCTTTTTCAGCAAAACCAACATTTTTGATTAATCAGATGGGGCCCAATTATTAAAAGACATGCCATAAACAAGTCATGAAATACTCACAGCTTTCTTAGAGATGGCAAAGTGGAAAATGCATTGGGGTGAATAATGGCAATTTTGTTCCAAGCTAAATTCCTATTAAAAAAAAAAAAAGGCAAGTGAGAGGATTATATAAAAGAAGACTGTGTGAAGTTTTACCATATATATTCATTCTTCTAACAAAATGTAATTTCCATTCAGGACAGGAGCAATTAACTTATCAAATCATCTTTCAGATGCAGATATTAATATTATAAAATGATAAAAGAATTTTAAAGCAACCTTGTTTAAATCAATCCAGGAAAATCCTTCAGGTGGATACTTTAGATTTATTCTCTTCCTGATAAAAATTGCCTTTAACATGGTTGTAAAATTTTATTAGGGCATTTCTAAGATGAGTGGGGGTCAGGGAATTGGAAGAGACAGGAACTTCTGAGGCTCTTCCTCTGACAGGCAAGTAAATTTTAAGTTATAAAATATCCCCGGATATGTAATGAAACTCAACAAAAATTTGTGTACATTGTCCATGTATGTCAGGCCTTAAGAGAAACACAGAGATACTTTCAAAAAAATTCCCAATAAAGAGAATGGACATTTAATTCTTTTTTTTTTTTTTAGCAGTACGCGGGCCTCTCACTGCTGTGGCCCCTCCCGTTGCGGAGCACAGGCTCCGGACGCGCAGGCTCAGCGGCCATGGCTCACGGGCCCAGCCGCTCCGCGGCATGTGGGATCTTCCCAGACCGGGGCACGAACCCGTGTCCCCTGCATCGGCAGGCGGACTCTCAACCACTGCGCCACCAGGGAAGCCCCTGGACATTTAATTCTTAACTGGGAAATGAAGAAGAGAGGGGCTAGCATATGTTGGAAATAAAAGCCTTTGATAACAAAATCTACAATTTATTGAGAAATGAAATTCACTCCACAGACATATATGTAATGAAATGTAGATAATTTTACAGGAATAAGAAATTACACATTTTTTAAAAAGAGCAATGGGGCTTCCCTGGTGGCGCAGTGGTTGGGAATCCGCCTGCCAATGCAGGGCACACGGGTTTGAGCCCTGGTCCGGGAGGATCCCACATGCCGCGGAGCGACTGAGCCCGTGCACCACAACTACTGAGCCGCGTGCCTAGAGCCCGTGCTCTGCAACAAGAGAGGCCACCGCAATGAGAAGCCCGCGCACTGCAATGAAGAGTAGCCCCTGCTCGCTGCAACAAGAAAAAGCCCGTGCACAGCAACAAAGACCCAATGCAGCCAAAAATAAATAAATAAATTTATTAAAAAAACAAAACAAAACAGGGAATCAACTTTATGTAAAGAGAAGCTGTAAAGCATTTCACTTGGACCAAAAAATACTTCTGTTTATTCAGGTATTATGTTGTAAATCATATCTCTTTGAAAAAAAAGAGCAATGAACTTAAAATTTGTATTTTTAAAATTCATAACTCATAAGGGAACTAAAGTGTAGACATTTGAGGAACCTGAAAGTGATCACCGTCAACTTTTCTCTAGCACAGAAAAGTAATTTATTCATGGTGTTGGGCCCCCTGAGTTACCTAGGATAAATGGTATTCACAGAACATTTACATTCTCATTTGAAAGGCCCCTGAACTGGGGAAAACTGGAAGGCTTTTTAGTTTGCTCCTTTCATCGATGGCAGAACAAAAGAAAATTCCAGCTAAGGAGGGGAAGGAATGGCATGGAAGGAGTGGGAAAGCTACAAATGGGAGTTGAGCAGGAGACTGTCTTCTGTTGAGCTGCTCATCAAATACGTGTCCAGTGAGGGTTGCAAGCCCTGCCATCTGCACTAGATGCTGGGGATAAGAAGATGAAAAAATTCTTGTCGTTTTCAGGTAGGGCGTGGTGTACCTGATGGCGGTGCTGAGTGCTGAGTCCTGTAGCAGAGAATGTGCAAAACACATCAGAGTGGAGAGGGCTCAGAGACAGGATATGTTGTTCTTATGGGATGGACAGGGGCAAGTTAAGAGTGGAGAGGAATCCAATGGGCGACAGGACCAGGAGAAACAATGGTCCATGTGTCAGGGGACTGGGAACTGGTGGGTGAGAGATGAAGGTGTTCCAGGGGGTTGGAATCAGATTCTGAAGGATGGTGCTTGGAAGTTTGGTTTTGGTATTGAAGACAATAGGGGAATAACAGAAGATTTTTGAAGCAGGGAAGTAACATGATTCAATTTCTACTTAAGAAAGATTCTCTTTGGAGAATGAGATGAATGGGTAAAGACTGATAGTGGAAAGTCCGGTAAGGAGGGTGATGACAGTGATCTAGGAGAGTGATTCCATGGGTCTTTGGTGAAGAATATTTAAGTTCTACTCTCTTAGCAAATTTCAATTGTACAACACAGTGTTATCAAATATATCAACCTTTGATATATTTGAAAAAGAACTAACTTTTGGAAACAGCCAGAACTCCAACCTGGTGAATAAGGCAGGTAATAAAAGTAGGTAATGTACAATATCTTTGTTTCACATTTATCTTAAAAAGTTAAAGAACTTCACAAGCCGATTTTAGACCAAAAGTAAGGAAAGGGCAACCCAATTAAATTCAGAGCAAGATTGTTTTCAAAGTGAATTTTTGGGAGAAACTGATTCTCCAAGGTGAATTTAAAATGTTTTGAGGAATGGTATTTTTTTATGAAGGTATAGTCTCTTAAATGTTAAGAAAAACTTTAGGAAAGTAAGGGTTTTTAACAACATCCTGCAGTTTAAACATTACATATTGTCATTGTTCACCAAAATTACACTGAAATCCAGTTTCGGGATGGAAAACAATCTGTCATGCACAAAAAATCTGTTACCGTTTTTTTTAAACTTATGGTTAATATATGGTATTTTCAGGTAGTGTGTGGTCTACCTGATGGCAGTGCTGAGTGTTGAGTCCTGTAGCACAGAATGTGCAAAGCACATCAGAGGAGCGGTATTTATGGTATTTTCAATATATATTAATATATATAATAATCTATTATAGTATATATTAATATATATTAATATCTATAATATATGTCAAATATATGGTATTTTCAATCATAAAATGGAATTAATATTTACAAATCTTAGTCATCTGAGCAACAGAAGCATTTCCCAGGACAGTTGTGCTTAAACCTTAGTGTACTTGTTAAAATACCGATTCTCAGGCCCTACTCCAGAGGGTCTAACTCATGAGGCAGGTGAGAACCTGGACTCTGCATTTTTTACAGTCACCTCCAGGTGATTCTTAAGCACTTAGAGAGACTCACATTGAAAAACTGTTTGACCAGGAAAGAAAAACAGGCAGGAAGAACTGTGTGGTCACCCCAGTTTTGCAGGCAGAACAATCTCCACCAATTCCCAGCTAGGAACAGAAACACATTTTGTAGGCTGTTCAATAGCTTGGCCTCCTTCCTCTTTATCAGAGTTTCATGTCTGCTGACTGGCAGAGGGCAGATTGCAAATTTACTGCTTTTGAACCTGTTCCTGGAAATGATCATGAGCAAAATATTTGCCTTCTCCTAGCAGATACATGCACAAAGGCCCAACAGTACAAGTATACAGTGAAAAGAAAATATTAGGGGAAGACCCAAAAGAGATGAAAAGTGCTCGATGTTGGGGAAGCTGCTGAGAGAGAGTACTCACAGAGAGCGGAGGCTAAACAACTGCTGGAAGGTGTTGGCTCGAATTTCACACATTTCATTATGTCGCAGGTCTCTGAAATGACAGGTTCCAAAGATTCATTTTGGAGCCACAGGTTTCAAAGATTAGTCTTCAGAGAACTTTTACAGAGGGGTTACCGGCCCTCAGTCACAGGAACACACGAACTACGACTACCAAGTGACACTGAGAAAAATGTCTTTTTGTTTAAAAAAGAACACTGCAATTTATCCACATAAAAAAGTATTGCCTCGCTTTCAAAGCAGCTATTCCCTTTGGGTGAATCTGAAGCTATATTCCAAATGCCAACATCATTCAAACACCTTGAGGATGCCTCTCTCTGCCCTCTGAGTCTTATATCCTTGGAGGGTCTTCAGGAGTGTCAAGTCGTTACCTTTCAAAGTGGATTTCTTTTCCCTCCCTTCCTCGCCCAAAGGCATTTGGAGAAAAATTAAGCAGAAAAGGATAGATGGTTAATATTGTTTTGACCAAAACCAAAGCATGACTATAAAGCAACAACGCTGATATTTTATGGAGAAGGCAATTTTCAGAGAGGAATTCTAAAATGTTTCATGCATAAGTAGCATCAATGGCACCTGAAATATGACTAATATGGCACCTCTTCTGAAGGTTACTATTGTGGTTTAGAATAGAAATTTTTTTTTTTTTTGGCCGCACGCACGGCTTGCCGGATCTTAGTTCCCAGACCAGGGATCAAACCTGGGTCCCCGCAGTGAAAGTGCCAAGTCTTAACCACTGGACCGCCAGGGAATTCCCATGAAGGTTACTATTGTGAAGCAAACATACCAACAAAAGTACCCCCATATTAAAACATAATGCCATGCATATGAGCTTCACTTGTGTTCAGGGAGAAAAACAAAACAGAACAAAAATAATGCCACTCATTGGAGGTGTAAGTTCAAAAAAGTTCCAAAGCTCAAATAAACCCAGTTCATTACTATACCAGGTTAGGAAAAAAAAAAACCACAACATAATAAATGCCTTACTTATAGTATAGTGCATGGTAAAATAATATCGTCTATGTCTCCCAACTTTACAGACATCCTATACAGTCACAGCTCCTGTGTGTAAGAAGGGAAAGCATCACATGTCTCCCCAGTGAACCACAGGATAAGCAAACCAATGACCCTTGGAAATGTGAGTTTTGGCTCTTGGTTTGCGCTAGGTGACTTAGAGACTCTTACAGACATACATTTTCTGAAGCTTTTGGCAGACTGAAAAACTGGGTAAATCTTCTAGCAGGTTATAAGATAGATCTCTGAAAAACAGAAGGTACAAAAGGGAAAAATCTGTTACATATTAATTGTAAGGAAACATGCTTTGCTCTCTTTTCCCCTCCACCACGATCTAGCTCCCAAAGGCAGACTTATGAACTTTTCCCCAGCCCTGATGTACAGCAGGTAGTCATAGGCATTATTAGATTAAGCAGTAGATTCAGATGTCAACTGAAATGTAACTGTTATACTTTAATTGATTTAAATAATTTACTTAATGAATTTATTTATGTTTTGTTAGTGATGATCTACAATGTTCTAGCTATTATCTTACAGAAATGAGTACAAATTAAATTAAATAATTGTGCCTCTGTTTCTAAGAGCTGCTATATCTCTGCAGCTGAGAGAATCATTGTTGGTTCTTTTCTAATCAACAGAAAAAGAATCCCAACAACAATTCAAAACATAGCACTAACTTTGAAATCAATCATTACAAGGGGGGAAAAAGAATCTAAGAAAGTCTTCAGCCAAAACTCAACAAATTACAGAATAACAAAAACATCTGGACATATTTATAGTATAATATAACTAATCTAAAACAAGCCATGGTAATTTGCAGAAAGCTTAAAAAAAGAAAGCTGGTAGATAAAGTAACAGATATATATATATATATATATATATATATATATATATATATATTATATATATATAAATCATGCCTCATGTTTTAAAAGTTATCAGCTAATCAACTAACTCACTTTCATGCCTGATTCTAATTCTTAAAACCAGATCACCACTAGGCAACTGAAAAATCCATATTGTTTTCTGAGAGGGTTTTAAATTACTTTATTTATTTTTTTTTTTGAAATTGATCACTTTATCTTACATTTATTGAATAAATAGAACTTAAGTAGAAATACAGTTCAATTTACTACACATGATAATTCAGATAAAGCTGTGTGCAGACACAAATTTGTAGTTTACACTAGAGATTTGAAAGACCAAACCAAACCAAACCAAACCAAACCAAAACAAAACAAAAATGCCCCACGCCTATACACAAATACAGCTGATTAACAATATGGTGTGTATTTTTGGAAAGTAGTGAATGTGATAAAATGGACACACGTATTATCAAAGCTGATAATAATTTGGTTCACTCATTTCCACAGACAGCAAGGGGAACAATCCTTCCTGTGTAGTTCTTAGTAGAGGGTACATGAAACCTTCTGCATAAAGACACAGTGCCACCACCTTCCCACCTATTACCTAATGATTTTCATGGCTAGCATTGATCAAGCACTTCTTATATATAGACACTGTGTTTACAGCTTGACCTGAATTATTTCATTTAATCTTTGTGGTCACCTTATGAAGGAAACATTTGTGTTGATTCCCATACAAAGCAAAGACTAAGATCACCAGCTAGTAAGTGGGGAAAGCCACACACAGTCAAGTCATTCCCACAGAGAAGAAGCAACTTGGAGGCAAAATCACTCATGTACAGTGACATCGCCTCCTGTAACAGCTACTCAGTGGATGACGCAGCCAAAGGAAGAGAGCTCTCAGACCTGTATTTCCAGAACAGAAAGCAGAGTGGAGTAAAGGTCACGACCCGGGGTTCTACTCTCAGCTTTAATTCTACTTCATTGATATGCTGGACGAAGCATTGATGTCTTTTTCAATTCTCTTCTTTAATGAGAAGATACTTGCTTTGCTGATCTCGCAGGGTTGTTGTGAAGAACAAATCAACACTACAGGTTGATGTGCTTTGAAAATGGCCGGATACGGCCATTAATGTAGTTGCCGTCTTTCAGGCCTTTCTAGGTTTCCACTCCAGGAAGGAACAATGGTGTAAAGGAAGTGAGAAAGACGATGATAAGAGCTAACATGGTCGAAGAGTTTACAGTGCTCCAGGTGCTGGTATAAGTGTTTGACGTGTAGTAACTTATTGCGTCCTCATGACGATCCCCTGAAGGAAGTGGCTACATCTCTTATTTTATAGGCTGGGAAATGGAACCCCGGAAGGGATAAATAACTCGCTCAAGATACTGTGATAGCATAGAGGCCGGATTTGAACCAGAAAAATAGACCCCAGAGCTTTTGCTCTTAAGCAGTTTGCCAGTCAGCCTCGGTGTATGCAGCTTTAGACCCGGGTGGTTTACCATTCGCTGTGTGACATACTGGAGACAGATGCGATTTAAATACTGGCTCCCTACTTATTAGTTACAGTATGTGAAATCCTGGTCATGTTACTGAGCCAGCTTCCTGAAGAAATGAGGATACTTATGCTTATTGTGGGTGTGGTGGGCAGAATTCGAAGACGGCTCCTGAGATTTCCACCACCTGGTGTCTATACTTGTTCTCCCAGTTATTCAATCAAACCATCTGCATTTGAATTCGAACTCTGCTACCTTCTTGCAGTGTGATTTTGACAGATGTACTTTACTTCCCTAATTCTCTCTTTCCTCACCTGTATCTGTACCTTCTAGGGAGATATGAGGTGAGGAAGAGGAGACTTGCTCTTAATCCCCTTCCTTTATACATGAATGACTCACTTTAAGGCTGTTATGTGGTTTATTGCAACTCCTATCACTGAGCAACTGTGGCCTGAAAGTGACGCAGTGGGCTGGGGATAGGGGAAGGCAGAATCAATGAAGAATGTTCCCATTCTTTCACTTGACATTTGTAGAGCTGCTTGTAGTTCTGGTACCCCGGAAAGCTTGTGGTGGAATCACAGGCGTTCGACTGCCGCACAAGTCTGCCATTCGAGAACAGAGCCATGCGAGAGACTAAGGGTGCCTTCACTACATCCCAGCAGTGCTTGAGAAGGTGATCCCAGGGCGTTGAGGGGGGAGGCTGGACATGGAAGGTCAGAACAAGGCTCTCCCAGTTCCTATAAACTACTTTTTGTAAAATGTGGGAAGGGCAGAGGAAAAAAGGCCCAAGTCAACAGAAATAACCTATGCAAGCTGTTTAGCCATTAGATGAAACATTAGAACATGGCACCAGCAACTATACCGGAAGAATGTTTGGTTGCCTTTATCAAGGTCTGTGTGGGTCTGATAATTTTATTTTGGCATCCATATTGGGTTTTTGATCCATGATTTTCTTTTTTTTTTTTTTTCCTGCTCTGCAGAGGATTTGGGGCTGGGGGCAATGAAGTTATTTTGGCTTGTTCACATCCATTTTCTGAAGGGAAATGTGTGCTGGTTGAAACTCTAATGGGAGACTGTTTGGGACTTGGAAACAAGGGGTACGTCGTTGCCATTATTACCAGGGTCACATCCGAGAGCCACTTCCCTGGCCCCAAGCAGGCAAAGGAGGCCTGACCTCCTGAAAACCTGCGAGGAAAGAACTTTCTCCTCTTTTAAAGGATTATTGAAATAATGTTGGTCATTTCACCCCCGTTTACACAACATTATTGCTTTACTGACACGCACAGCACTTGGAGATTCGGTAACTGATCGCAGACAGTTTGAGGAAGAGATGAGATCTGTGCTCCAGTTAAAGTCCTGTTGAAACACAAACCAGACATCATTCTTGTATTTGGGCATCACATAGTGACATATTTTGATTCACTGATGTTAAGACTGGTCAGGCTTGAAGGGTAGTGCAAGTTCTGGGCAAAGTCAAGAGCCTACTCAAGTACTTACAGACTCTCCAGGCTCGCGGTACCAGTTAAATCAGGAAATTCAGTTATTTGTGAGGCACCATTCAAAGTCCTAGAAGGAGGAGTACATGAGTATTACTGGGAGAAGATTCTAGGAAGGGGTCATTTTTATGGCCATTTCAAAGCACTTGAAATGTTCATTTGGTCTTCACAGCAACCTTGCAAAGGAAAATGATCTGTAAGAGAAATAAACACTTACAGTATTCTTAGTTCAGGTAAATGTTGAAAAGCAGATCTCCCAACAACCTGGATAGGGTTGTCATAGAAATGTCTGAAAAAATCCAAAGACCAACGTCTTAGTATAAAACTTGAATGACAAATGAACACCTGTTCAGAATTTCAACAAATGCCTTCAATGTACTTGTGTAATTTTGATTACTTGGTTTCAGGTAAACCTCAAAAGTATTTTCATTCGTATTATGAGACTTTTGGTGAGAAATCCGTACTACATAAAATTGAAAATTTCTGACAGCAAGGCAGATATGAATGTCAGCTCGTATGGAGAAAAGCAAGTGAACAGACTACAGTTATACTTAAAGCTCTTCCTCTGCCTCCAATATCTGTGAACTATCCATTGAGTGGCAAAAGGTAGTTCAAGGTGCTGGCAGTTATATCATTAGCTAAAGAAATATGAAGTTCTATATAGTTACATGAGGGTCATATCCTCTGGTCAAATCTTCTGACACACACGCAAAGGATCCTTCAAATTATTTGAGAGGAAATATGCTACTCTGGGTTTTTGTAACATTAGATTTTAAAAAATCAATGATTGCTCTAAAAGGTAAGACATTATTAGAACTTCAAAAGTATTTTGTTTTACAGATGTTTTCAATGTAAAGGTATTTGAACCACCTGGTCAACGGAGTCCCACAAACAGTTCTTAGCTGAGACATCCTTCCAGTTCAATTAAATTCAACAAATATTTATTGGTGTCTCTTATGCTCAAAGCATGAGGGTAGGTACTGCTTGCATTTAAAGACTGATTTATTAAGGAGGCTGTCATTGGCTCTCTACTATGTGCCTGGCATTATGCTAGATGCTGGGGATGTGAATAAGAATGATAAGGTGTCCCTGCCCTAAAGAAGCTCGGAATCAGTTGGGATAAAACAAATAAATAAGGGGATATGACTCTCTGGTTGACAAAGCATTTTCACATCTAGAGTTCAATTAATCCACCTGCCAACTTTATAAGATCTATGGCAGAGACACTTAGGTACTATTTCCCTCATTTTTGGAGGAAGCTGAGGCTCAGATACTTTGGTAAAAGCTCATTACCTCCCAGAGCTTCAACTTTCTAATCTGTTCAACTAATGTAATAATACTAAGTAGTAGGGTTTGTGTACACATTAAAAGAGCTAACGCACATGTAACATCTGGCACAGGACCTGGGATATAGTTGTCACTCAACATGTGCCAAATCCCTGTCCGCACTCCCACCCTCTGACTTCTTTTCCCTTCGATTAGACAACTGGTAAGAGAAAGGGCTAGAGCTGGACTATAGGTCTTTTCTGTTTGTTTTGTCTTGTACATCTTTTTATTATAAATCTTTTTCTAAAATATTTTTATTGAAATGTAGTTGATTTACAATGTCGTGTTAGTTTCAGGTGTACAGCAAAGTGGTTCGGGCATATATATATATATATATATATATATATATATACACACATATATTCTTTTTTTACATTCTCTTCGATTATATGAGGACTATACATCTTACAGTTTAAAAATGGAGTTGTCCTCAGAATATTACATTATCCCTTATCTACACTATATGCTTGTTTGTATGTAATTATGTTCATATACCTGCGTGCATGTAAGTACAATGGGCAGCTATGAATACACATGCTTATGTACATAAGGCATAAGTATCACAAACACAAGGCGGAGCTATAGGGTTCTCAGGAGGGAGTTCTCTCATGAGGTCAAGAAAAACTTCATGAAAATGCCATTTGAAATAGACCCTGGAAAACAGAATTTCGACAAGCATAGTGAGGGGATGGAACCATAGGAGCAAAGGAAATAAAGGAGGGGATTTGTTCTATGAATGTAGCTTAGTTGGTCTGGGTTATGGCGTAAGGTAATTGAGGAATGGGTTAGGAGGGTTGGCTTGGGCCATGTGGAAAGCTGAGACTTTCCACATGTGGAAAGGAGTTGGCGTTTAATGTAAACAGACAACACTGACTGTATGTTTCACAGCAAGAGAATGACAACATGGATGCTGTGCTTTCAGGGTGAGCACACTGCTAGTGGTAGAGGCAGGGGTGTGAGCCTTAGACTGGTAGAAATCTAGAGGTAATGGCTAGCAGAGGGGCTGGTGGCAGAGGGGATGGAAAGAAGTTATGGATAGGATGGGGACTACAGAGGTAGAAATGAGGCCTGGGTAGCCAATGGACAAGGAAAGCAAAGAAATCTGAGTTGGGGGGAGTATGGGCGGGGGCGGTAGTGACACAGATAGACATGGAGGCAGAAGCAAGGAGAGAAGAGCTTCTGGGAGAAAACAGTCAAGGCCAGCAAAGAGTGGAGAGGGGTGCTAATAAATATTGGGGGCTGTTAGTCCTCTTCAAGGGGTATTAACATATCAAAAGGGTGATTAAGAAAACCAGTCCTGTGGCTTCAGGGAAAGAAGGGGCAAAGAAAGGCAATGCAATCTGCCAACTTCTTAGTATGTAAATACTCTCTAATGAGAACTAATGTTTACTGGCAACAAACTTTAACCCCCTTAGTTTGCCAACATACTGTCAGAACGTTTCAGAAATAATGAATGGTATTTTTTTTTTCTCACTTGTCAGGGCTAATTGGGATTCCAGCTCATTTGTGACGAATGCTACACGGCTCCAGAAAGCCTCTCAATCAAGTTGGCACAGGATGCCGAATATCTGCCAAGAAGTGCCCTAGAGTCCTTTTCAGAAGCCGTCCTTACTTTCCTCCATATTTCAGACCCCCCACCCATGACCTTAGGCCAATACTATGCCCCAAACCTGTCAGTTGTCTTTTTATTAAGAGCCAGCCTATTACTTACGTATTTTCACCTTCCTATATGTACCTACGCAGGATCAATTTTCTGTTTGTGCTAAATATGAAACATAGAATTAATCCTACTTTGAAGCTGTAACTCTATCTTATGCCATTATGGCATACATATCCTCATATACACCTTCCTAGAACATATGCACCTTTCCAGAATTACATCCTAGTTTGTATAAATGTAACTCAGTGTTTGGACTCGAGAATGAATGGGTATCGAATGGCTACTTAGCATAAAGCAGTAGTCTCCTCATCTCCCCCTCCTTGCAGTAAAGGACCTCTATCATATATAATAATGTATGTATGTATGTATTTCTATTTTAGCTTTATTGAGGTATAAGTGACATATAAAATGGTACATTTAAAGCTTACAGTGTGGTGATTGGATATACGTATACATTGTGAATGGATTCCCCCAACCTGGATAATTAACTATTAACTATCACATATTTATCTTTTTGGGGGTGAGAACATAATAATTTATGTTACTACTATACTTGGTTCAAGTTCTGAATGACTAGGTGACCTTGACATTGATGCTCTAAAAATCAGTTTTATTCCTTAGGAAATAGAGATAAGCAAAAAAGCATTTCATAAGATTATTGTGCAGTGACACAAGGCATTTGAAGATACCAAGCATAAGGCAATGCACATTGTAGGTCCTAAGAAAAAGCATCTCTAATATTGCTTCAGCATTTGGCTAAAACTTAGCAAAACATCTCCATACACACTACAGTGACCGAGACAAAACTTGGGCAAATATAGAACATTTATTGTATTATGTTTAAAAGTGCAATTCGTGCTATATTGCAGGACAGAAAAATCGAAAAGAACTATGGCTACTTACATTGTAATAAGAGAAGGGTTGCCTACAAAGGCTTTCTCAGGTATCGACTTGATATTGTTGCTATGAAATCCTCTAGAAAGAGAGGAAAAGATAATTTATAGAAAATAACCTGTGGGGTAAAATCATTTAATGGTCCCCTCACCAAACCCGTGGCAATAATCAGCAATTTTAGTAACTAGAGGATAAGGTTAAATTCCTCTATGCATTTTGAAATGTTTTTGCCCTCACTTACTCTCTAGGAGAAAAAGATATCACAAGCTGTCATCTGGAAAGAGGAATAAAGAATCTGAAAATGATAACTGTGCTTTATGGAAACTTACAACCTAATGCTATAAAAAGAAAATCCATCTGTTAATATCCAATAGAGCATCATGGTATAACAACTTGAGACCGAGGAAACCATCTTTGGAGAGAGGATTATGATCTCTCCTCTTTACCCCATTTAAAGCCAGGAGAAGAGAAAATTGACTTAAGCTGCAGTGAGTAGAGATTTAAGTAATCTCCTTATGAGGACAAAATTTCCTGAGCTGAAGAAAGGTGCCCCAGCTCAGTGAGTCTGTAATAACAAATTGATTCTCATCTGTCGGTGCTAATGTTGTCTGACTGGCAGAGGGGCAGAGTCAATGGTCTTTGGTCTATGTGGGTCTGTGGCTGAATGAGGTGAATGGCAGTCTTGGGGCTGCCTGACCCAGACAATGATGACTTCCCAGCTAAGCCCTGTGTGGGGTTTCCTGAGGCAGAACCACATAGAGGTTTTTTCTTATAAACAAGCTCTGCTGTCTACCTCCTTTAGCTGTGTGTCTTATTTCTCTCTGCCAAGAGAATAGGCTCTGTGTTTATTTTCCTTTCCAAGTGTTAGAACATTACATAGGCTATTCATATTTTTAGGTACAAAGAAAAGTAATTAAATTACAATATATAAAAGACAATATATGCAACCTAATCGCTGAAAGTTCACTTTACTGTAGTAAAATGGTGAGTTTCTTTAAGAATTAAATAGGATTTATGAAACATTAAAAAATATGAAATAATGTATATGAAGGCATCTAGCACTATACTAGGCACATATATCGTGTTCATCCAGTCCTATGCAACCTAGGAAAGTTTGTCTTTTCGAAATGCTCAGCAAATAACTGAATTCTGATAGAGTTCTCTACAAACCTATAACTTATATAAATGTTGGGAAAATGTGGCTTAGGAAAAGAGTATGGCTTAAAGAAATATGTATCCTTTTTTCTAATATATATATATTAGAGAAATCCATTATAAATTAAAAAAATATTATCTGCCGTTTGTTGGTGATAGAAGCAAATTAAAATATATTTTGGATGTAGTTAATCATTATTTACATGACCTATTAAATTTTTCTAGTAAGTCGTATTAGGTGCAATAGTCAAACATACTTTAATATAAATTCACAAAGAATAGTTCTCCCATTAAATTTGTCCTACTTACAGTTCTTTAAGGTTGGACAGTGTCCTGATTGCAGTGGGGAATTCATCAAGATTATTATAATTTAAATCTCTGAAAATAAGTAAATAAATTCAGTTTTTCACTTAAAAATTCATATATATTACATTTACAAGGAATGTTAACATGCTCTTCCCATGGACCAGTATCATTGATAACAATTCTCATTCCTTTTCTTAATGAAGAGATTGTGTTGGTTGGCTGACCACCATCATTCCACAAGTATCTGCATTAAAATAGTCATTAGACTGGTCATGAGAAATTTCAAAGAGTCATGGCTCAATGGCACTGGGCATTAAAAGAAGGGAGGGGATGTACAGCAGTGTGAATGTCCAAGCAGGTGGGACACTTGGCCAGGTGTTGGCGGCTGGCCGCTGTAGCTCTTCACCCGAACCCCGCTCACCAAGCTGCCAGCTAGTCTGTACCCTCCTCGGGGCTCCTGAACCACATCCACTTTCCGGTCCCCTCTTCCATTCTCTGACTTTGTCCCACTGCTTTTCAGAGTCTCTCCTGAGAGGACACCTAGGAGAGTGGCTTTGTTCCTGACTCTGGTACAGTTCCTGTCTTTCTCCCAGCCTGAGGTCCAGGATGATAGTCTGCTTATGGAGAGGCTTATGTGGTACAGGGTACTCTCAGGAAGAACCTCAGGTCTAGAATTTCCATACGGTCACAAATAAAGATTCAGATCCGAAGGGTGACGGTGACGTTTTCCTTGGTGTGTGAGGCAAAGCTCTCTATCACCCTTCCTGCATAGAGACAGAATGGCCAAACCATCTCAAATCATTCGTTTCTCTGTTATGACACAAATGGCTTTTCAGTTCCATTACTCACAAGCGCTTTATAGACTTAACTTCACCGTTTATCTACATCTCCATATGAAAAAGTAATTGCCTCCTTGTCTCTGGGAACGGCAGATTTCCCAGATGACGCAGAAAAACCTTTTGGTCAGGCAATCAGATGTGGTTAGATCTTCCTCTGTGGGGAAGAATTCCTATTTAACTTTAAGAGAGAGATAATTTGACCAAGTTAAACATGAATCAAGATTCCTACTTGTCTGGCACAAACCATCCTTAAGCTATACAGCAGGCAGGAAACGTGTCTTTTGTGGACATAAATTTTCTTCCTGTTTGTAAATCTCTCCAGATGCTCTGTTTTGATTAAACGAGGATTGGGTCCTTATAAATTACTTAGATTTCTAGTGAGGGAAAGGAAGAGGTTGGGAATAACCAATCTACTGAGCCTCTGTAGCCCTGGGCAAGGCGAGGGAAGAGGGGACATTGAGACTCACATGAATTTGCGCTGAATGCATGTATTGCATGAATTTGCAATCCTGGGTCCTTACCTCAAGCGCCCCGTGTGGGGGTGTGTGTGTGTGTGTGTGTGTGAGGAAGACTATTTATGGAAATACCTATCAAAGCCCATCTTGTTTTTTTGTTCCTGTTGTGTTGAAAAGGACTGGAAGGTGTTATCCATTGCTAATATTCCCCAGCCCAGTCTTTGTGTAAATAAGGGAGATGTTCTAAGTTTTCCAAGCTGCTGATGGGAACAGCTTGCCTGTGCCTTTAAGTCGACTTCAAAGTCCTGCCTGGACAAGTTCACCTTTGGCATCTCCTTATGAGGATGATTCCTCCTTTCTAAGAGGAAGCACAGAGTGACTTAAGTAACCCTGGAAGGACAGCTGTTAGGTCCCGCAGGAAATGAGTGGACCCAGATCTGGTTAGAAGCTAAATTGACCAGGTACAAAGTGCTAAGCTCTGTATGCAAATGAACAAGGGCTCCAAAGCCATACGAGATGTGGTCTTTGGTCACGTCCTTCTGCAGTCCTGGTCAGAGCCAGTGTTGTAGATTCAGCGGCGCTGTGTGGCTTATTACACTTGAGTGTTAAAAACATGGAGGTGAGGAGGGCGCAGCTGGAACCACTTCCTCTCCCAGCACACACGATGTCCTCACTGCCTGTGAGCACCCTCATTAGGCCTCTTACTCAACAGGGCGATGAAGAGCAGCCCCTCCCCTAGGAAACAGCTCAGCCCTGGGGAGGCCCGTAAGAACTGTTCTCGCTGTGGCTCTGGGTGGTCAGCTGGCTGGACTCTATGTATTTTTATTACAGATACCAACTCAGAACTGAGGTTTTGACCCACTCTTTGGAAGTAGGGTATAGTGGTAAGCATGGATTTTGGAGTCAAACTAGGGAAGGAAGCAAATCCCAGTTACGCTGCTGACTGGCTATGTCGTGTTGATAAAGTAACTTAACCTTACTGGAGCCTAAAATGGTATGGTAGCACCTGCTCTAGTGGGATGCTTGTAGGAGTGACTGAAACAATGTATGCTGAGTGCTCAGTACAATATTGGTTAGAGATATACTCAATAAATGTACTACTGTTACTAATTTGTAGATTTCTGAGTTGCTTCAGCAG